TGTCTCAATTGAAGCTAAAGAAGCGTGGCTTGTTGATAGTGGCTGCACTAACCACATGACACCAAACTTGGTGAATTTCGATAGCTTGGATACAAACTATTCTTCAAAAGTCAAACTTGGAGATGGTAGTGGAGATGGTAGGCTTGTTGATGCCAAAGGCAAAGGAGATGTGATTGTACAAACTCCTTCAGGTACAAAGCTTGTTTCCGATGTTCTTTACGTACCAGAACTATATCAAAGCTTGTTTTCAGTTGGTCAATTGCTGGATAAGAATTACAGTTTGCTATTTAAAGATAAAACTTGTGAAATAAGTGATCCTTCTGGCTCAATAAGATGAATCCTTCCTAGTTCAAAGTTATTTGCTCGTCAAAATGAAACGGAAGAAAGCTTTCCCTCTACACTTTAAGAAACTTCGAAAGAGAATCCTTGCTTGAGTCATAAAAGAAGAATCTGATTTTGGGTGCATAAGAGACTTGGTCACATTCCAATCTCAATTTCACTTAAAATTATCGCAATCCAAGAAGAAAGTTAGTTGCCCTGTTTGCCAAACTGTAGTTGAAAACAACCAATGAATCCAAAGTCTACAGAATTTTGAATCCTGTTACTCAAACAGGTGTATTCGCAAGAGTGTCAAATATTGAAATGAGAGGTGAATGAGAAGATTGGGAGTAAATTGAGCCAGGAAATTCTAAATCAGTTCTTGAACAAGATCAATTTCAGCAAAGAGCAAGATTCGCAGTTGACAATGAAGATGAATCAAAATGAAGATGATTAATGCAATTAGAGGAATAAGATCCCTAGAAGAAAATTTACAAACAGATGTATGTTGTTATCAACTTGAATCCCTAGAAGAAATTTACAACAGATGTAATGTTGTCTCACTTGAACCAACTCAAGTGGATGAAGCCTTAAAATTGCCTGAGTGGAGAGCTGCGATGGAGGAGGAGTTGAAGATGATTATGAATTTTCATCAAGAGAATCCAACTAAAATACTTTGTGACAACAAATCAGTTGTCACTATGGCTAAGAATCCAATCTTCCATAGAAAAACCAAGCATACAAAAATCAAATACCATGCAATGCGTGAAGCTGAAAAGGAAAATAAAATTCAGATTGTTCATTGCAGTTCTGAAGACCAAACAACAGATATTTTCACCAAAGCATTGCAAAAACCAAGATTTGAATTTCTTAGGAATAGACTTGGTGTTTGTCTCAACTCTTGCATCCAGGAGGAGTGTTAAAGTTACAGCTATAGCTCCATTAAAGAAATTGATGCAAGTGTTGTTGACAGTTTTTGGAGGTATTTTGTTAAAGTCATTTAGATTTTGTTGTACTTTGTTGAAGTCAAGAAGTTTGTTGAAGTCAAGAAGTAGTTGAACTACCTTGCTTTTAAGGTAGGTTTGGTGAACAACCTTCCTTGACTTAATAAGAAAGTTTGGTGAACAAACTTTCCTTGACTTATGGAAGGTTGTGAACAACTTTAGAATAGTGTTTAAGTTAAATGTCTTCATTATGCTTGTAAATGGCGAATTAATGAAGATGTGAATAATTTGTTTTCCTCCAACACTTATTAAAAATCTGCAATATTTTTCCTTCTCTGCAGAATTTTCCCTTCTCTTCCTTAATTTTCTGCTTCTTCTAAACCACACCAATTCGAGAGATCAACCTAAATATTTGTTTCTCCACACTTATAAAATCTGCATATTTTTCCTTCTCTGCAGAATTTTCCTTCTCTTCCTTAATTTTCTGCTCTTCTAAACCAACACCAATTCGAAGATCACCTATATTATTGATGATGATGGAGACGATGATTAACCATCTTTGCCTCTTTTTACACATTGGATGTCCCAAAATGCTAAAATTCTCATCTTCTTCAATATGATTTCATCTTTCTCTACTGGATTCTCCTCTTTCTGGTCAAGTAATTGCAACAAAAATGAACTCGATGTTGAGTGCGAATGAAACCCAAGCGACAAACCCGCTTGCGTTAAATCCATTTTTCAAACTCTCACAAATCAACAATTATATGGAACAAATAATAAAAAATTAGAAATTTTAAATTCAAGGATATGAGTGGAAACAAGAAGTTGGAGGAGAAAAATGAGAGTAAAGGTTTTGGAGATAAAGATTTGTGATTAGGAGGAAGGAGAGAAAATGGAGGAGAAAGAGGAGAGTAACGCTATGCATTTGGAATTCTGGACGAGGAAGGAGTAATATAGAGATGGATAATTAAAAATGGTATAATATTTGTGGGTCCCACAACATATGGGTATTTGGTCTTTTTATACAAAATTAATGGAAAAAGATATGACTTTTTTTACGGAAGAATTGAAGAGTGAGATGGAGGCATATGTCAGGTACTGCGAAATAATTTTATCAAACAGTGAGGACGAAGTCATGTCTATTGTAAAACCTTAGGGACTCAAAATATTTTTTCTTTATTTAATTTTAGGAGTGTTAAAATGGATCATGACACGCGAATACGATTCGTTCAACTCGCAAAATAAACAGGTTAGGGTTGAGGTTAAACGAGTTCGTGTCATAAATAGGTCATCCATTTATGACACGAATATAAACGTGTTGTGTCACAAGTCGACACGCGGGTTAGGCCAGTGACTCGTTTATTTTACGGTAAAGAGATAGTTTTGGTGTCAAATATAAATACCCAAATAAAACACTATTTAAAATTTATGTCGTATTAATTTTTTGTTATTTTAGTTATGAATCTTGGAGAATATATATATGTTATGTATAAAATTTATTTTTAAATATGATTTGAGTTAAATAGGTTAAAATTTAAAAATATCATAAGCAGGTTAAGTAGGTCGTATACGGGTCAGCACGATCCACTTAACCAGTTTATGATATTAGACAGGTTATACGAGTCGTAACGAGTCAACACGACCCATTTAACATGTTTATGATATTAGACGGGTTACACGAGTCGTATACGGGTCAACACGACGCACTTAACCTGTTTATGATATTAGGTAGATTACACGGATCGTATACGGGTCAACACAACACATTTAACCTGCTTATGATATTAGGTGGGTTATACATATTATGTTTGTGTCACCTACCTAATTTTCGTGTCGTGAACGTGTTGAGAAATTTGGCACAATTATTAAATAGGTCGTATGCGTGTTGATTTTAATCGTGTCACGTGTTAGGCGAATTCGTGTCGAACCCGACACGCCAACCTGTTTTGACATCCCCTATTTAATTTAGTTTTAGGCTTGATTTTATAATAGAATTATAAATTTATAATTTAATTATTTATTATTAGTTATTTGATTAAAATTTAATGACCTGAAATAATTTTAGAATTCTAAATTTATTGAATAAACATATTATATTTAATCTCATAACTCATGATTCTATTTTAACATTTTTAAAAAATAGTATGAAATTAAATTGATCAATTTTTTTTTTATTCAAAGCTTTATTTTTTTTTCTTTTTACTATAAATGAGAGTCTATGATGTGTATTCATAATTTCATTTATTTGACTAAAATTTATGACCATCTAGAAAATGTTTTTCAAAATAACATTTTAAAGTTTTAAAACTTAAAGAAATAGTTCTTTCAATAATAATCTAAATAAAGTTATCAAACAAATTTTAAATATAACTAAAATTGATAATCATTTGATCTTTACGATGTTATCTTAAAAAGGTTTTGTTTTATGAAATATTAATTCTAATAATGCATGATGCTCATACCACAACTTAAAAACGTTTATTTTTAATTATTCGCATGAAATGATGAATTTTCTTGCCTTAAGAAAAAATATGGATTTTATTACCGTCTTTACTTACTTTCTGTTATCAATTCTGGCCCTCATCTAGAATCCGATTGGGTATGATCGAGCAATGCAGTTCCGAGAGTAAAGAAACTTACTTGACGGACCTTGGAGTTGCTGATGATGCAAGTTGCTCGCCGATGGTCCATTAAGAGTCCGGTAAAACTGCACCAAATTCTTTCAAGCTTGCCGTGAGATGGAAATAAGATTGTCTCGAAAATGCTTTCAACTTAAAAGGATTTTAAAAGTAAGGATGAAGGACTAAAAGAATAGCCACATGAATGTGGGCTAGCTTGTTATACCAAATAAACGGCTAAATATGCAAACAAACTCCGTTACACATTTAGACTCCATCAAGAAATTCGGTATATTTGAAGACTTCCGTTACACATTTATTTGCAAAATCCTAAAACTAGATGACTAGAATCATGTCCAAATACACCAAAACCTGGGCCCAGGTTCTCTTTCTCCAAGAACGGGCAGCTTTAAACAATTTAGTTCCAAACACACCATCAAGCAAGCGACTCCCTTTCCGTAGCATACCCGTCCATTGAATTAAGGAATTTTTCCTTCTCCTGTATGTGTTATAGCTTATAGCTATAAGCTCCAATTCCTTGATGAAAAGAGCTGTCGCCTTTAAATCATCGAAAAAATTAAAGAAGGAACCGCTCCAAAGGGAAAATGGACAAATTCCTTTTCTTATCCGAGTGATTTGGAGAGCGGCCATCGCCAGTGGTTTGTGGTGGTGATGAGAGAGAGCGAGAGAGATATGTTTATTGTGAGTGAGAGTAATTTAGCAATCAATGGCCAGCTTGCTAACTATGCATTTCGATCTACTTCCGGTGAGTTCCAGTGATGAGAATGGCAGTGAATCACTCCTTGTTCATTACTGAGAGAGAATACGATGATGATGATGGTGGTCGATGCGGGGAAGAATATGGTGTTGCCAGTTTTGATATTTGTGGATCCCACATGAGTGTTTTAGTCATTTTCACGTAAACTTAACGGAAAATGAGCACTTTTTTTACGGAAGGATCATATTGTGGGACGGAAGCTAACTTTAGAGATGTCATAATAATTTAACTAAAATATATTGATGGAATTATTAATTTAGTCAAAATTCGAGAATGAAATAGTAATTTTCCCCATTTCTGTTCTTACAATAATTTCTTATTCTATAATTAAATGACAATGGGCTGCTGGACAGCGTAACCATTGAGCCCGGCATAAAAACAAGCACGCTCGAGTAAGAGAGGGAACTGGAATTTTCCATCTTCAACAAAATAAAACCCAAGCTTCGGAGCAGCGCCACTTTTTTCCACAGCGCACACTCTAGTCCAGAAAGAGCTGCGATTTCGATTACAATAACAAGACACAGAAAAGAAAAATGCAGGCTCCAGTTCTCGTCCTCAGTAAGTTCCTCTCTCATAAAAACCCTAATTTATTACCTTCCAAGAATGTTTCATTGATTCCGATTTTCTTTTCATTTTTCTTCCTAATTACTAAAAAATGATCAGAGGATTCTTTGATTCCAAGAATGTTTCATTGATTCCGATTTTCTTTTCATTTTTCTTCCTAATTACTAAAAAATGATCAGAGGATTCTTTGAAACGTGAATCTGGAAGCAAAGTACACTATGCCAACATTCAGGCCTCCAAGGTAAAACCTTCAACACACAGTTGTCATAAACAAATTACTTCAACAGTCTGTGGTTGTTTATTTTTCCTTTGTTTTTTCCCTGTCATTTTAATGTGATAAATCTGTAAAATCTCTTCCAAATAGAGTTGTACTTCGCATTGCAGTCATCTTGTGTTGTGTACATCTGATACTCAGTTCATTAGGCTTTGTTCTGAAACGAGTTGTGGTCAGTTGTTGTGACTTCCGAGCTTTATATTGATGAACTTATTAAATTTCGGAGAACGTCTTTATGATTGCTTATAGGCAGTATGTCTAACTTACAACTTTTGACAAAGAGTTGGACAATTTTTATTTTTCTATAACTGTCCACTGGCATTTATTTTGATTACTAAAGTTTTGAAGACAATTGTAGTGAACTTTTTTGCTTTTCTTTCCTCAACTGAGTAAGAACCTTACTCCTTTGAAGATATTGTCTTCAAAAGGATAGCCTTAAATTGGATTTCTGGGAGCTATAATCAACATGCTCTCTGATTAGTTTTTTTGAAAATATAACAGCAATTTTGTCTTCCAGTTAGCTCATCCTAGATATCGTGTTATTTATGCTTTTGTGGCTTTGTTGTTCTATCATTTGATTTTGTTTTCTGTGTGTTATACTTGACAGGCTGTTGCTGACATTATCCGCACTACCTTGGGTCCAAGATCCATGCTGAAGATGCTACTTGATGCTAGTGGAGGTGCATTTTTGGCTTAATAACATATTTTTGCAAGTGTGCACTCTCATGCACAGAGAAAAAGAAATATTAATTACCAAGCTCGTCATTAGTAACTTTGATACGTACTGATCTCTTCTAACTCACCTTTTTTTTATGAAATAACTTGTTCCTTGTCATAGAAACTGCAAATTGAGAAGGGAATAAATTATTTGGAAATTGTTAGAATGAAAACAGGTGATCGATGCATGTGATATGAAAGTAACTAAAGATGTTTTAATTGCTTCCACTTCTCTTTTATTTTAAATATTGTTTAAGTCCTATCATTTTAGTTTATTAGTACAGGTTAGTATCAGGTACTAATTCACTTATTAAAGGATATTGGAAACTTCATAAAACTTGAAGATGAGCGTCCAGATGTTGCTTATCCTGTATTAATATATTGAAATAGAGATGATGATGATGCTGTTAATTTTCTATTTGCTAACAGGAATTGTAGTAACGAATGATGGGAATGCTATCCTGCGTGAACTCGATGTTGCGCACCCAGCAGCAAAGGCATGCTTTCTCTCTCCCTCTGTCACTAATCCCAATTCCAAAAATCTCACTGTCAACTTTGAGCAAGAACCTATCAATAAATGAATGTTTCTTGATTTTTATTAGGGTTACTAAAAAGTCCAAACTTCCATTTAGCAATTGTGGGTTCTTATTTGAAAATGATCAACGTTAAATGTGCTTAATTATAAGATGTGATGGTAGCTAGATTCTAAATCAATTTTGGCCATTTTTGCAACCATAGATTCTAGAATAGGCAATAATTTTAAGTTGCAAATTGAGATCAAGACATTTTAGTGATTAGTCATTTTGATTACCATTTGGAATAGGATTTTTTATATATTTATTTTTTGGTTCCAGGCTTCTAGTTGAATTTTTAATTGCTTTCTAATTTTGTCCTCCTGACATGTTTTCCAATGACAGTCAATGATTGAGTTGAGCCGCACACAAGATGAAGAAGTAGGAGATGGGACAACATCTGTCATCGTTCTTGGTATGGTTTGAGATTAAACTGTTGGCTCATATGTCTCGATGGATATTTTCTTAAATGTTATAATTAAAGAATACATGATTTTTGGATGTTTGTTTCTTTCATCATTTTTAGCATCATGATTGATCTACACTCTACAACCTTTACTATGTGGTTGACTATGAGGGTATGACCTCAGATATGGAGTTATAATTTTATTATAAATGCTTTTGGAAAATTGTGATATTGTTAATATCATTTCTTGAATTTCTCTTTTTTGAATGGATGTGTTACAGCTGGAGAGATGCTCCATGTTGCCGAAGCCTTCATTGACAAGAATTATCATCCCACAGTGATTTGTCGAGGTAATGCTTCAAGTGCTTATTTGACACTCCTTTCTGCTTACAGATCATTACACTTCTTTCCGATGAAGGCTTTTTTAATTTGTGCTGCAGCCTACACTAAAGCTCTTGAAGATGCTGTTGCTGTGCTTGACAAAATTGCTATGTCCATTGATGTCAATGACCGTAAGTTGCTCAAATGCTTCCTTTCTTTTACTATTTTTGTTTTTCAGAATTCTTGTATAGTTATTTTTCATATCTAGATTTAGTTTGGTTGATCAAGTGCATCTTCCATCCTGGACTACAAATGATTTAAAGATTTTTACTTTTCGTTTACAGACATTCAAGTGCTATAAAAATTCTTTTTTTGTTTGTTAGGAATAATTTCTAGTAAGATCATGGGATTTTTATTGTCTTTTAGTTTTTAGTAACATATGGATATGCGTGGCAGGTGCAACAATGTTGGGGCTGGTTAAGAGCTGTATAGGAACAAAGTTCACTAGTCAATTTGGGGATTTGATTGCTGTAAGTATCTCTTTCATTCCAATGGATGCTTGTGGAATTCCATAAGCTTTTTTTAAGGAATATTTGTTGTTGTTCAAGCAGTTAGTATTATTCAGCAGTTTGAACATTAATGAGTCATGAAATTTTAAGTCTCTCCAGCGGCATGGCTAAATAGTCAGCTAAAAGTTGTTTCCAGATGTAAATTTTAATGATAATCAGACCTGAAGAAATATGTACCAAGCGAACTGTTGTGCGACTTATATAAATCTCATAAACCATGCCAGCTCTTTCTAACACATTCTGGAAGAGGGATTTCTATCATCATACACATATCTAGTCTAGTCCATTCACGCAAAGCATGAAGTAATATTTCCTGTAACTAGAAGAGACTGCTATGTTTCAGAAGATTATGGTGGTCATTTAATAGTTTTGTCATTTTTAATCTCTTTGATATTTCTTCTTTGGGCTTTAAGTCTTCCAAAATAAGGGAGTGTTGGAAATTTATCATTTACAAGCACCTTGTCTTGCCTCTATAGGAACTGGTGGTTAATTTTCTATCATTTGTTGGTTTTGATTAACTTCCAGGATCTAGCAATTGATGCCACCAGCACAGTTGGGGTTGATCTTGGCCAAGGATTGCGAGAAGTTGATATCAAGAAGTACATTAAGGTGGAGAAGGTACCTGGTGGTCAGTTGGAAGATTCCAAAGTTCTTAAAGGAGTTATGTTTAACAAAGATGTGGTTGCCCCTGGCAAGATGAGGAGAAAGATTGTGAATCCACGTATTATTCTTCTTGATTGTCCCCTTGAATACAAGAAAGGCGAGAACCAAACAAATGCTGAGTTGGTTAAAGAAGAAGACTGGGGAGTTCTATTGAAAATGGAAGAGGAATATATCGAGTGCTAGAGTTGGTTAGAGAGAGAGATGGTGAATCCACGTATTATTCTTCTTGATTGTCCCCTTGAATACAAGAAAGGCGAGAACCAAACAAATGCTGAGTTGGTTAAAGAAGAAGACTGGGGAGTTCTATTGAAAATGGAAGAGGAATATATCGAGAACATGTGCATGCAGATTCTAAAATTTAAACCAGATCTGGTTATAACAGAAAAAGGTCTTAGCGATTTGGCATGCCACTATCTCAGCAAGGCTGGTGTAAGTGCGATCAGGAGGCTAAGGAAGACAGACAATAATAGAATTGCAAAGGCATGTGGGGCTGTTATTGTGAACAGACCAGATGAATTGCAAGAGTCTGATGTTGGTACTGGAGCTGGGTTATTTGAGGTTAAGAAAATTGGGGATGAGTTCTTTTCTTTCATTGTTGATTGCAAAGATCCAAAAGCTTGTACAGTTCTCTTGAGAGGTGCCAGTAAAGATCTGCTGAACGAAGTGGAAAGAAATTTGCAGGTATGCAATTCATTGATGTTCAAAGCTACTTCTGCATAACCATAGAATTACTGAAGTTGACTTTAAATTTCAACACAGGATGCCATGTCTGTGGCCAGAAACATTCTTAAGAATCCGAAACTTGTTCCTGGTGGTGGTGCTACAGAGTTAACTGTCTCTGCCACTTTGAAGCAAAAGAGTTCATCCATTGAAGGAATAGAAAAGGTGAATGGCTTTCTCAGCATAAGCAGATCACTCTTCAGTAAATTTAGCTTCCGCCGGCTCTTTAAAATGTTGTGTATAAATATAGTCTGTTTTATCTTTTCATGATTTAATCTATATTGTTTATTTTTTATTTATATGGTTTATGATTGTAAAACAGTGGCCTTATGAAGCTGCTGCAATAGCTTTTGAGGCTATTCCGCGAACTTTGGCTCAGAATTGTGGTGTCAATGTGATTCGGACAATGACTGCCCTCCAAGGAAAAGTATGAACCTTTAAGGTGCTCTGTTTGTATTTTTGAGAACAATAGTTCAATTTCTAAGACAATCAATCTCGTTTTTCCCTTTTCTCTATATGTCTCAGCATGCAAATGGTGATAATGCATGGGTTGGCATTGATGGGAACACCGGAGAAATTACTGATATGAAAGAGAGGAAGGTATGGCATTATTTTTAATTTTAGTCTTCCCATTATGGTAGAATTTGATTCTCCCTTGGAACTTCTGTACAAATGAAGTTAGATGGTTTCTTTCTGAAATAAATTTCTGGCATTCTTTTAGATATACATAATCTGAATTTATGGGATTTGTGATCTCTCTTATGATCTTGAGGGATGGGCGATGTCGTCTTTTAGTTTATTCACTATATGTACAGTTTGATTGTTTCCTCAGATTGTTGTGAATTTTTTACTAGTTTCTTTTGTTGTGTTGGAAATTAAAAGAGCAAAACTTGTCATCTGGTTTATTGATAAGTGTCTTTTTATGATTATATTATCAGATATGGGATGCATATAATGTAAAAGCACAAACCTTCAAGACAGCAATAGAAGCAGCTTCCATGCTTCTGAGAATCGACGACATTGTAAGTGGGATCAAGAAGAAACAGACCCCAGGAGCAGGGCAAGCTGGCAAGCCTAAGATTGAGACAGAAGCTGATGCAGACGGTGAGCAGATTCTTCCTGACTGAAGATATTTTGGTTGGAAGTATTTGTCAAAGAAGACGGTATTTTTATTCCCCTGACAAGGGTGTTAAACAATTTTGTTTAGGTGTGATTCAAGTATCATTAATTAAAATTTTCTGCGCCTTTCTGATTATTGTTAGCTAGCGTTCAATCAGGACTTATACTTAAACCAGATTTTGGGTTTTCTTTGGTGTGTGCATTAGGCTGTCAGCTTCTTGTGTCAATATTTGGAGTGTTGTTAATGTCTGCTTAAATTTTTTCCTAGTTTATCTAGTCTCCAGAGAGTTGCCTTGTTAGAAGTCTGATTCCTTTATGATGATAAAGGGTGAACTCGAGGCTAGGTTGGGCGAAAATTTGAACTGCTAAAACTGAATTGAGTCATCACTTGATTTGAACGTCTCTCTATATACAGGCCTGTCCAGGGATGGTTCAGGTTCAGGTTCAGTTTCAGGAAACCAAAAATCCTCCATTACATGATTTATGAGAAACCGAAGCTTCCTCTACTCATCTTATCGCTACCGAAAATAAGAAAATGCTTTTAATCCAAGGCCATAGCAAACCGTTGTTTTTCTCACTTTTCTCCACTTCTCTTAAGAGTACCATTTTCGTTCGCCTAGGCCTAGAATTGTGATTTTCTCAATTTGTATAGTTTTGAATGGAGCTATACTTAACTCTAGATCTTCCATTGATTATCCTCATAATTATCTTGACGACTTTAATATCACTAACATTGAAGCTCATGTTTAGCTCGATTTAGTAAAGATACTATACTAGTGCGTAAACATTCTACAGAAGCCTCTCAATTTCAATGACAAAAAGACTACAAAGGATGACTCTTAGGATCCGCCCGAAAGCACTCCTATGAATCTGGTCCAGCAAACGGAGATTGAAGAAGGATCAATCAATTCGGTTAAGTAGAAACTTGGAGAAGAGTTGAGTATTTGATTAGGGATGTTCAGCCAGTACTTCCTCCAGTGTTTTCAGGGTGCCAATCTTGCTTCACTTCGGTATCAAATGGCTGCAGAGGATAATTTTATATACAATGACTATATCAAACAGATTGAAACAATGATGCGGTAGTTCAAGGTTTATAGTACTAAAGCTCAATATCAGAACCCAAAAGAATTTGAAGCAACTTTAACCCCTTGTTTGCAACTAGAAATCCATATTTGTATTTGAAATTTTAATTCTATCAATTCCATGGAATTGGATATGATTACACCAAATCTCATAAAAATAGGTGAAATTTTCAAATGAATTCTATAAAACTAAGCAATCCAACTTTTTATCATTCTTTATCTACAAAGTCAAATTATCACTTTTTTTTTATTATTTAAATTTTTTATTTTATTGAATTTGTTGAAAATATTTTTAAAATTTTTATTTTTTCAGAAAATTTTTTTCTTATTATTGTGTTTTTATTTTAATATTTTTTTATCTTTTATTTTAATATTTTTAGCATTTTTTTACTATCGATGAGAGAGATTCAAGTTGAATATCCATTTATCACTAAATTAAATGCAATTTTTTATCTTTATTTTTAGTATTTTAGCATTTTTTTTACTATCGACGAGACAGAGATTCAAGTTGAATATGCATTTATCACTAAATTAACATGCAATAATTTTTATTAATATAATTTTAATTTATATATTATATTTTACTAAAGAATGTAAAAAAGTATTTTATTTTATATATTTATTTTAATAAAAATGTAAAAAAGTATATAGCATAACATAAGTATAATTGGTATTTATTATTTATTTTTGTAAAATTACCGTTTGAAGGATATTTTGAAAAACAAAAGCAAATAAATTTTTAATTATAAATTTGTTCTACATATGATTTTATGTGGAATTCAATTGAATTACATGTTTGAAATTAATTATACTAAACATGAATAATTCATTCACAAATGAATTTTACTAGAATTCATTTACCGATGAATTTAATATTTTGAATTCATTTATACCAGATGAAGCATAACAGTTAATTTGATAGTTGGAGGAGCAATTTTACATGGATATCTATCAGCATAAGCCTTATCAAATTACATTGGTGGATTTTTGTTGAGTGCTCTAAAAATTTGGAGAGTTGGTGGATAAACACGTACAATGCTTCAGGAAATATAAGACCTTGTGCATAAACCAAATCACTAAATCCGAATTCATTGGCCTCGTTCAACTTGGGTTTAACACGATGATCATTAATGATTCTGAAGGCTAAAGGTTCAGAGCCTTTATGACTTGATTGATAGAGTTATAGTAGATTTGAGAGTATCTTCAGGAAAAAGGAATAAAACAAGAACTCATCTAAGGGGATGTATTATCGTGATCTAATGGCAATTTTGGTCATTGAAGTTGAGAATGATTACGAGGCAGAAGACCATATCAAAACAATCAAATTTGTACAAAGAGACAAAAATGAATATCCAATATTGGCCAAACCCAAGCCTACGAAAAAGCCAACTGGTAGTACTCATATGCTCAAAGAGTACTCTTTTGATCTTACCAAAGGCGACTAGATATTTTGACTTCTTGCTTAAGGTGGCTATATCAAACTTACTACTGGGCATGTTATCCTAATGCCAAAAGAGAGGAATGGGTCAAAAAATATTGTAAGTAGCATAACTTTCGATCTCATTCCACTAACAATGACATCTATTTCAGGAATGCGATCTAAAAGGCTATTAACTGAAGGCAGATATCATTTTCCTCCAAAAGTAAAAGTGCACTGTCATGATCGATCTTTTCCCTAAGGTTAATGTGAATACTATCTTGAGAAAACCTCTTGGCTCTAGAATAACTCAACTATCACATCCAATCCCTTCCAAGGTTAGTATGAAGTAGGTATTGAAATTGTTAATATAATTAATAGCACTAGAATCATTCAATTGTCATGACCAATCCCTTCCTCAATGTTGGTGTGAAATTTGGTAGTAGAATGGGTAATATGAGTAGTACCACCGGTATCAAATTGAGAGGATTTAGTAGAACAAGAAAGAGTAAAATGTTTACATTGTGAAGATTTAAAAGATAAAGCTAAATTAGTTGTTAGAGTTGAATTCGAAGTTGAAGGACTTACAAGAGTAAAGTTGACAATATTTAATGCAACAGTCAAACTTATTGTGGTTGTATAGGTTGAAGTAGAGTAGCTTGGAGAAGTGCGATGAGATTTTAACATTATTTTGCAGTCAAAGAGAGATTAGAACTAAGATGATTCCATATGCTAGAGATGTAAAATTTAGGGGAATTTCCTATTATTAAAAATGCAGGTTGCATATTTTGTGTATCACTTGTGATGGGAGTAGAGAAGAAGTAGAAGAGTAAGGATAAAGGGTAGAGACAACGGACGTAAAACAGAGGGTACTGAGTTTAGAGGTGAAGTTTCTTCACCTAGTTGGGTTTCATTCATATCACATATATATAGTTAATTACATCAGCACTTAGGACACAAGTACACATTCTAGAAGAATAATTACAACCACATGTCCAAAAAATAAAATAAGATTTGTTGACATAATCTAGATGACATAAGCAAATATTAAACCAATATAATTCTAAACTTATCCACATAAATCTAGAAGTTCTATGAGAAAAATATTTATTTTTCAATAATTTCCTCCTTGAGATTTTTCTCAAGAACTCCAAGCATAGCTCTCAAAAACTCAAATCTTGCAGCGGGAAGGGCTATTGTCAAAATATCAGCTACTTGCTCATCTAACTTGCAGTGCAACAACTTTTTTTGTCCGTTCCTTTCAGCTTCTCTTATAGCATAACTATTGCTCATATATTGTATGTATAGGATTCTTAGCAATAGTTATGGCTAACTTATTATTATAATAAATGATAGTTGGATCATTTAATTTCTCTCCCAAATCATCCAATAATTTTCCAAACCAAATTGTTTGATTAGCAGTTGCTGCACAACAGATAAACTTAACATCAACCGTAGACTGAGCAAGCACTTCGTGTTTTCTTAAATTTCAACAGAAGGCACCTAAACTAAAAGAGAATATATAACCAGTTGTGTTCTTCATATCATTCACATAACCAGCCCAATCATTATTAATATATCCTTGTAACTTGCCTTGTTTATTGCTAGAATACCATACACCAAAATTGATGGTACCTTTCAAGTACCCTAAAACACGTTTTGCAGCACTGAAATGCACTTGAGATGCAGCTTGCTTGAATCTAGAAAGCACATTGTAGCAAACATTAAATCAAGGCTAGGTGTAGTTAAATAAAGAATACTGCCAACTAGACTTTTATAAGGTGATGCATTAGTTAACGTCTCTCCATCATTTATAGATAATTTTTCATTTAAAGCTAGCGGAGAGGTCACAGATTTATAGCTTTGCATATTGAATTTCTTCAAGATATCCATGGCATACTTTCTTTGTGAAATAAAGATGTCATTCTCAGATTGGTCCACCTCCATTGCCAAAAAATATTTCATCTTTCCCAAATCTGACATCTCAATTTCTTTTTCCATCTTCAACTTGAAGTCTTTTATCAATTCATCATTATTTTCAGTCACCAACAAATCAACTACATAGAGAGAAAGTAATTGTATATTACCATCATTTGAGAGTTTGACATATAAAGTTGCCTCACTAAGCCCTCATTTGAATTCTTGACTCAAGTGATAAGAGTCAATTCTGCTGTACCAAGTTCTTGGAGCTTGTTTTAAGCCGTAGAAAGTTTTGTGCAGCTTGTAAACTTAATCTTCACAACCAGGAATTTCGAAGCCTTCATGTTGAGTGATATATATTTCTTCTTGCAACACACCATTTAGAAAGGCAAATTTTACATCAAAACGATATAAACCATTTCTTTTGAGCTACTAATGCAATTAGCATTCTGATTGTATGATGCCTAGCAATAGGAGCAAATGTATCTATAAAATCAACCCCAGAAACTTGAGAATAGCCTTTTACTACTAACCTTGCTTTGTGTTTGTTTATGGATCCATCAGGATTAACTTTGTCCTGAAAATCCAATTAACACCAATAACATTTTTATTTTTAGGTCTAGAAAGAAATTCTAAAATGTTATTCTTCTCAATCATTGAGATTTCAGCTTTCCCAGCTTCAATCCAAACTTCACTTCTAGCAGCCTTGGCATAACTTATAGGTTTGAAAAATTTTTGCATTGCATTTCCTATAAATTTTAGCAAGAGATTTAGTTTTAAGAACATGAGAGTCTAAGTCATCACTTATCTCTCTAATCTCACTTGATTCAAGAGCACCCAAGTTGTCTT